CCCCTCTCTTCCATCCCCTTCTCTGCTTTTATTTTTTCATTTGTTTGCTCATTCTTCTGTTAACATGTGGACATTTAGGAGTGTGGTAGTTACTTCTTTAGGCTCACCTACAAGAGTGAATCATATTGGCAAAAGAAGGAAAATAATCCAGGAATGGGAAAGGGAGTAGGAAACGGAAGAGGGAGGCATGCTCCTGGTAGTGAGCAGTAGAGGTATGCCAGCCCTTGCCCTTCTGACCACCTGGGGACACCTTGCCATGAATGACCTCCCAGCTCTGGAAATGAAGCTCCAGGAGATGCTGAGTCACTCTTTCCCCACCAGATCTGTCTCTCATTCTTCAAGACAAAATGAACCTCATTATTTTGGATTAATTGGGGAATAGCAACCAAAACTGGTGAGTCAGAATTTTAGAGTATTTTAACCAAAAGCAACTTAAATACTTGTAATCCATACAGCAACCTAATCTGTTAAAAAAGAAACACACAAAATGTGTGGCTTCTACCCAGCATAACAACAATACCAGTGATAAGAATGACTAGTCATCACGTATGTACTGGCTGCCTTCCTGTGCAGACCCTGTCTAGGAACTGAAACTACATCCAGAAATAAAGCAGATGGTTCTGCTCTCTTGGCACTTAAATTCTAGTAGAGAGACATATAATGACCATAACTAGCATTTATCAAGGGCCTACTTTGTACAGACTATTTATGTAAATTTCCCTAAGCTTGCAATATAGGTATTATTAGTTTCTTGTCCAAACACTTCCTGTGTAGGAGTCCCTTTAATACCAGTGAACACCCTATGAGGAGCTTTCATTATTCCCATTCTACAGGTGAGGAAACTAAGGCTTACAGAGATCATATGGTACCAGAGTCAGAAGTGGAATCCATGTATTTTAACTTCGGAGCCTATGCTCTTGATCAGTGTGCCATTTTTTCTTTTAAAGAATGTGCTTCTAAAATGTCTGAGATCAGTTTTAAGTAGTGTAATATTGTCTTTTGAATTAAGTTCTGGGTCTATAACCGGCTTACTAATTGTGTTTGAAAACTGTAATACAATCATTCATTACCAACAATCTCTAACCTAATTTTAAAGATTTGCCTTCTGTTCCAGAACCCAAAAACTCATAGAACTTTATTTTTTTTTAATCTAATCTATAAAGGGGCTTCTTTCTTTCTTTTTCTAATCCAGAAGAAACTATTTGAGTGAAAAAAGAACAATTTAGTTTTAGACAGAGATTTGAAGTGGTTTGCTTCGGGCTCACTCCCCACCCCTTCCCTGCCCTTCTTCGGAGACCCTTGGCCCTCTTGCCACTCTCCTTTCTGAGGACTCCAGTAGTGGGCATTGCTTCAGGAAATGGGGGCCCATTTTTCAACCTGTAAATATGAAGTATACTGCATTTTTAGATTTTAACTTTCTTATTAAAAAATCACCTTATATTCAAGTGAATACTGTACACATGAGAGCTCATCCTTGCTTTCCTTACTGTAAGTTTGCCCATCTTGAAATTCTAAGAAGGTTGAGAGCAGGAGGCTTTCATTAGATGAGTGTTTGAGAAGCACATTGTGGAGGAGTACATCTAAAATAAAATGAAAGCTGAAACAAAACAATATTCTTGAATCAGCAGTTGCCATCCCGCCTTTTCTGTCCTTTCTGGGACTGGCCCAGTGGCCCTAGAGGAACAAAGAAACACTAAGAGGATGAGTAGAAAAACAATTCATAACAGAAGCCTTCTTCTTTAAATTCCATGTTTCAAAAAGAGACAGGAATTATTGGGGGCAGTATCCTGAGATACATTAATGTATAAGACATAGATTTTTAGCAGATGGGAGACTAAAACCCATGCAAATAATAGAGCCTTGGGAACTTGATGTCATTTATATGTTATCCTTTAGTACTTGGCTGAATACATATTTCATTTATCCAAGAAGGCATACCAAATATTATACCAAAGAAATCTAATTTACAACACAGACCTACAGAGTTCCACATACATATTTATGGAACACTCCCTTCCCACCCAAACCCCCAAATACCATGAATTTCGTGCATATTTGTTATGCTAAACTGATTACCAAAAGACTATCTGCATAAATAAAGAGGTAAATGTATCCAGAACCATTTGCATCAAGAAGCTCTCTTCTCTTTCTTTCCTTTCTTTTCAAAGTTCTGCCTACAATACCTAGGTGTCTGAAGCCAAGTCTTAATCTTCTACATTCTTAAAAATGTCTTGTTGGATCTCCTTTAGATGTTTAGCTCATTGGTGAACATGTAATAGGTTTGCAGAAAGGATTAATTGATTGCTTTCTTGATGACTGGTTATTAATGGGTAGATTTCTAGAAAGGAAAATGACTCATGTGCCCACAGCCAGCAAGTATCCATGGCCCTCTGCACTCCATGAGAACATGCTCTGGGGATGGTGAGGAATGTGTACTCATTGATAATCTCTAGCTAGTCTTTCTGGTGACCAATATTACCCATTTCCCCTTAAGGTGGATAAGCTGAGGTACATATCAGTTTTTCTAGTTACTTCACTCCATAGCATTTTCTTCCAGCCAGGTGGCTCATCTCAAATGCCAGAAAGTTAGAGAAAGATAGCATGGATAACAAGCAAGTGAAATGTGGGTGACTCCCAGTTTCTGCATAAGAAGAGTGGTGTGGTAGAAAGGGTATTCCCTTGGGAGTGTGGGTTCAAATCCTGCTGTGCAACACTGGACAAATTACTTAACTTCTCTGGCCTCATATCTTCACCTTTAAAATGGTATCAACAATATCTGGAACATACAGTTGTCATGAAATTAGATGAATATGTGCCATTGGTTGGAGGTAGGATTTGGGGAGTGAGTTAGTGGCCCAGCACAAAAGTTAACTCAAAATATACAAAACATATAAACATTCAAACATGTCGTTGTAATTGAAAGACCAATCATGGTACTTGCAGCATTTGTACAATATAGTATTTCTTTGGGTTTTAATTCTGATAGCAGATTGTTTTCATAATAAAGATCTCAGTATATTTTGAATGAGGCTGGTTTAGCTAAGCCCAGATCAAATGAAGAAAAAGAGGCCAGTCAAGATCATTATCTTTATTACTCGACCTGGAATGTATTCCTCAAATATGCATTTAGACGATTGTTGTAATACTGCCCCACACGTACCTACACACTCAAATGACCTCCTATCTCCCCCTTGCCCCAAAGCCCTTTTCTCCCATATATTTTAAGTGACAAGACTCAATGAAAACTTTCCCCTTCCAAAATATTTAGGGCTCTTCCTGCCTAAGTTCCCTTTTCTACAAAGTGATTTAGTGCTTTACCCTTGCCCCAGACACTCTGACATCTGTGTGTAGTCTCTGGATAAAGCTTTGTCTTGAAGTTCAGGAGGCTGGGGGAAGGAGATGGGCCCAGAGTTTGGGTAAGGGAGAGGAAGAACTGACTCCCTGCTCACTGTCGTCTTCCAGACCTCGTCTTCCATGTTCCTGGTTCCACCAGGATCAAAGCGATTCTATTTCAGGTCCTTGTATGACAGATTGTCCACATCTGTCCTGCTGTTGCCGTAATGAAAGTATGGCCTTGTTTCTGAGGGTCCCTTTAGCCTTACAAGCTAGGCTCAGAGCAAAGGAGAGAGGTTAGAGTTGGAGGAAGGGAAGGAGGAGGACGCAGGAGGACCAGAAGCAGGGGTGGGCAAGCAGCCAGTGTGGGACACAGACCCCTCTAAGGGAGGGACCTACATGGAGTACTGTTAATGAAGATACTCCCCACACCCTTCCTGGGCTGAAACAATAGCAGCTGTTGCTTTATTCTTTATTCCCTATATTCAAAGGGAAAGAGCCAATATGCAAAGGTCGGTAAGGCCTCCCATTGGATCACTGAATCTCCTTCTGGGCTCATTGTGAAAAGATGCCTTCATGGCTGTCTTCGGCTATTTCAGAATTAGAAAGTATGGAGAAAAAACTTTCACATGAGTTTTCATTTAAAAAACAAAAAAACGAACTATAAACTCCATTTCCTAGAGTTGATAGCCTTGTAGCTGTGGATTCTGGGATAAATTCTGCCCTCCACTCCCCCATGGTGGGTGGGAGGGAGATCTAAGCCTCTTAAGTTGTGTCATTTCCAAAAGAGTCACTGAGATGTGTCCCATTTGCTAGAGCAGTTAGGGAATCTGAAAAGCCATGCCTTCTTTCTTACCTAGGAAAACACCTTGCCTGAGGTAGACTTTGAAGATACCCTGAGAAGGAGGGGAAGAAGGTTTACCATGAAATAAGGTACTCCAGGCCTGCAGAACAAGGTGGAGGCAGGCGGAGAGTGGGAAAAAAACACACCACGATAATTCTTTCTTTTAATTTTAATTAGCTGTGATGAAATGAAACAGCAAAGAAACTATTTGAGAACTTTGGCCTTATAACCCAATGTCTACTTTAAATGCAAATTGAAGACAAACCAGTAGGTGATCAGAAGAATAGCTTAAAATTTACATAAAAACCTCAAAAAAAGACCCTCAAGGACATATGTAAAATGATAATTTTTTAAAAGAATTTATGGCAGTTAATCTGCATGAGTCACCACAGAACTTGAGCTTGAGATATGTTTAGATTACGCTGCCAGAAATTTTAAAGTATCTCTTCATCTACAGACACACACACACACACACACACACAAAATCTTCTCTATTCAAACTCCTAGCTTCTCCAACCTAGGAAAGAATTTGTTGCCCTTTCAAATCATTAGAGAGCCATGTGAAATCAACTCTTGAGGCAGACAATGAGTGATCGTGTGTTTCCTGACACAGCTCATAACTAGCCATTCGATGGCTTTTTCCCTTCACCTGTTATGACGCCCTGAGTAAACTGTTGACAAGTTCTCATAACTTGTATAAAATCCGAGTGCTGGGTAGGATGAGGGCAAGGAAATGTAGAAGGAAATACTGTTCCCATTACCTTCCTCTGGAGAATTCCCTGGACTGACTTCCTGAAATTCTCCTTTTGTTTGCCTTCACCAGGAATGGCTGCCCTAGATAGTAAGGCATCAGGGAAGATGGGAATGCGAGCTGTAGTCTATTACATGACTACAACCATCATTGCCGTGGTGATTGGCATAATCATTGTCATCATCATCCATCCCGGGAAGGGCACAAAGGAAAACATGCACAGAGAAGGCAAAATTGTACAAGTGACAGCTGCAGACGCCTTCCTGGACCTGATCAGGTATGTCCTTGCAAGCCCATCCCTTTGGGTATATTTTGACCACACAATCCCTCTTATTTTTGAGGAGCTAATCAAACCCCAGAAGAGGTGTCCAACCGAACTAGCCTTGCTGGGATTTAAATGAGGGTCACATATGTATCTCTTTCTAACAGAAATTAAAGTAAGGATCCGTTTTCTGATCTCATGTGAAAGAGGTGAGGAAAGACTTCGAGAGCCCTGCTTTTAGAATTCAGAATCTGATCACTCAGTTTGCCCCTCAACTGTGCAGCTTATCTTGGAATATTAATAATTCTTAACCTACTTTTCTCAAGTCTTGCTCTTTAAGGCTAATTTTCAGTCAGGTATAACCTGTTCATTGGACTAATCTAATTTAGAACTTGTGATCTCTGTCATCATCCATTAAACACAATAGTTTCTGTCTAAAAGAGATCAGCTGGTCATACCTGGTCCAACTGCCTGTTTTTACTGTTTATAAACAAAGGATTTGGCAGATCAGAAATAAAAGATTAAAGGATCTTTTCTGTATGTACAAACCATACACTGATTACAAATGAGTCTTATCTAATGCTTGAAACTGACTTGATGGTAGAGTCGATCTTACAAAGAACTGTGAAGTAAGCCTAAATTTGATCCTGGCACCTTCCTGCTTGCTCTCTCTCTATACCTGCCCTTGCATCAGTCAGATCATGGCAGGAAACATTGCATATTCAAAAGGATCACTGAAAAGGGTTTACAAAGCTATGGGCAGGGTTTACGGAGCCTACAGGGCGTGGTGAGGTACCAGGGAACTGACAGCAAAGAGGAGCAATTTTTTTGCCACCCTGGCTCTGAGGGACAAAGGAAAGGAGCTGCTGCTGAAACTCAGGCAGAGCTGTGGCCTTGGGAGAGGACCCTGAGAATAGGAGCTGGAGCTCTAATCTGGAGGGAGGGAGCTGCTGCCCAACCTGTCAGAGAGAGAGAGCTGGAGGAATAGCTACATCCACTGCCCTGTGATCTGTCAGCACTTCCCACTGGGCAAGCCCAGCAAGAAGCCAGATGGAAAGAAAATCTACCTGCTACTCTCCAAGGAGCCACCCCCCCGGGCACAGAGCAGAATGGGGGTGGATCTAGAAGTGCAAATGGAAGCTATCCCAGCACAGGTTTCTGGATCCGCCATGGTGTGGCATTCCTCCACCACATCGCCCACCCAGCCTGTCCTCCCCAAAACTAGCCCTTTTCCACCTTCTTTACAACTTACTTCCATGGTGACTGGTTTGCCAGTCCTAGATACTGTAAAGGGTTCCCATTAGTCACCTAAAAGAAACTCCTCCTAGGGACTTGGTTTCACATGCCATCTCAAGGAATGGGTCTGTGGCAGGTAGATTCAAGAGCTATTTGGACAACAAAGGCTCTCTTCAGCAGCACCTCTCGCTCCCCACCACGAGTGACTTCGTATCATCTGTACGTAAGTACCACCCAGTTCCTCAGAGCCTCTTCTGGAAAACCCTTTTTGGGAAATTAATCACAATTATCTGTAGGTGACAAGCCACCCCATAACATGATTTCATACCAACTTGTCACCTGAGAACTATGACTTAATTTAGTTCATACAATTGATTAGGCTTTTCACCATTTTTTCATGAACTTTACCCTCAGGTAGTTTGGATTAGAAGTATTTTATTATGTTTTCTGTATAATTGCTACTCCTTATTGGAAAAATTGGGATCTTGTCATTTCCAGTCTGGTTGATCCATCAGAGTGCTTTGAGTTTCTGCCCCTCCTTGCCCCAGTGACAAGTGTGTGGCTGACCTGCTTCCACCCAGTCACTGGGGTTGAGCATTATCTTGGAATCTCCTGAATTCACATTTCTATCAAGGTTTGTAGAAATGGACCCACAGAACAGAGATGAGAAGGAAAAGGAAACAGGATGGTCTAGGTAACAGGGAAAAAGAGACAAGAATTTATAACCTTAAAATATGACTTTGATAACATGCAACTTCTGGACTCTTGGGTCCTCCACTACCTGGTGTCCTCTCACACTTGTCAGTCTTGGAGCCCTAATGATAGTTTAATCCAATCTCCTCTTTAACAGATAAGTCATCTGAGACCTAAATGAGTGCCAAGACTTTGCCAAGGTCACACAGCTGGTTAAAGACTCCCCAGCTAAAGTGTTGCCCCTTATCCCTTCCCCCCAGGATCTCAGACACTGCTCTGAGGAAATGACAAACCCTGCCACGTGGGCTTCAAGTTCAAATGTTGTGGGCCATTTCCCCATTGGTCACCAGTGAGCCTCAGAAGTTCCAACAATTCAAAGTCAACATCCCATTCCTCTCAGGGCCTTTGGGAGGACTTTGTGGAGAACAAAATTCCACAGTCCAACTGTGACATTTCGTCAGACCCTTTGGTCCCTGACACGTGGCACAATACCACAACGGCCACTTCTCACTCTGCTTCTTCCTAGGAGCAACGGGGTTGATGATATAATGTCTGAACAAAATCCCATTGTCTGACAAAAGGACAGATGAGTTGAATTTGGGACTTCCCTGAGAAATAGGAACTACATGGGCCACACTTAGAAATGACAGTATGTCCCATTTTCCCATTTCAAGTCATAAAATCCACCAAAATCTTTCTCTATTTCCATTTGCTGCTTAGTTGAATGCAATCTTTACCTTAGACACAGTGAAAGTTTTAAGGAGCAAACTTATTATTTGGGAAATTTTTCAAGTGATTATTATTTTCTTTGCAGGAATATGTTCCCTCCAAACCTGGTAGAAGCCTGCTTCAAACAGGTAAACAGTCTATAGTTTACTAATTCACCCTTGAGATCCTCTTAGCATATCAGAGTGGGACCCTCTTTGTATCTTTTTTTTTTTCCATTTTTCTGCAATGAGAAACACTTCTCTCACCAACCAGATGAGAAGCACTAGAGTTTTTTGGTGAATTTGGTGAGGCATATGCTGGAAGCAGGGTCTTACCTTATATTGAAGTCTTGTTAGCTGGCAGACACTATATGTCTTGCATACAAATAGCTCATTGAATCTCTGTTAGTTCTTAAGAAGGCTAACCAGACTTTTTCCCCCTCACCACTCCCACATCCCATACACAAAAGTCCACCAAGCAAGCAAACTCAATATGAGATACATTGACAATGTGCTTTAAAGATTAGGGAGTTTGTTCAAGTTTCTTGATCTGATATGAAAAATCAGTAGATTGTTTCTTGGAAATCTACTAAGAGCCTTACAGATTCTAAAGGAGAAAACAGATCAGAGAGGAATGGCATATCATTCACTGAATGCCCACTATGTACCAAGCACTAATGTTATATTTTCTCCTCACATAAATATGATTGGTATCATTTTATCATTTCACTGATGAAGCAACTCATCTATGATAATTCAGAGGCATCATGTAACAGGTACAAGATCTCACAAGTAATAAATAGCAGACCCAGATTTCAAATCTATTGTGCTGGCTCCAAATTTTATCCTCTTTTTGCTCCTACATTCTGCTTCCTAGAAGGGGCTAATCAAGGGTTTGAAATACGTACCTGAGGGCACAATGAGGCCCAGACCCTTTTAGCCCTATATTTAATCAACTCCTGGCTCTCTGTATTGTGGATACCAACACATTGTAGTATTAGGGAACAAAATTAGTAAAGTCCATTCTAACCTCACTTGAATAAAAAAGACTTGTTGCCCAAAATTAAAAAGGAAACAGTTAGACATTCTGGATTAAATAATAGTTCCCAAACATTTCTCCAGATAGTGTCACTTGAACCTTGTTGTAATTCTCTAACCCTTCTGCTTAGGATCTGTAAAACAAACAAAACAAAACCCCGATCTCATGGAGGACCAAGTTTTACACAAATAAGTCACTCTTTGTTTTTTCTCTTTAAAAAAATTTTATTGACCATTTTTAATAGGTAATACATGCATACACTGTAAAACTCAAACAGAATCCTTTCTTTAAAAAAAAAAGCCAGACAGGCCAAAATCTAACTTTCATTATTCAAAAACAACTGTAACCATGAATAATAAACCCCTTTCAATCCAACCCACCAACCCCAGCACCATGGGACTGACTATTTCAGTTAGTCAGCTAGCACTGGGAGGCATGAAAAATGCTGATTTCCAGCAGCACCGGGAAAAGTGCTGACTCATGCAGATTTATTGTATTTGGTTTTGGATTGCATTTACAGAATTTTGAAGGCAAAGCAAATGCATTTTCCCAGATCTATTTATCCTCAACCAAAATGCAAATGACATTGCAGTTTCTGTGTAGAGTATACACTGTGTCTAAGTGGGAAGAGTAGGAGGTGTAGGAAAGGCTAATCAGGATGGAAAACCTACCCTAGACAATCCATAAAATGCACAAGCACCCTAGTGGAATAGAGGTTTAAGAGCTGACTGGAATTGGAGACAAAAAGGGACAGTTTATTTGTTATTTAAAATTACCAGCAGTACCACTGATTGTTCAGAGATATGTCTACAGTACTGACAGCTACCCATGTCCTTGTTTGGGAAGAGCAGTTTCCCATTGGACAAGAAAGTCTCCCATTTATTCTTGGTAGAGAAATGGCCCAGCAGTTCATGTGCAGCTGTGCTTGCTTCCCCTAGACTCTAGATCCAGTCCACATCCATACATGATGACTCTCTCTGATGCCTTACTACCATCAATATGAAAGCCAGGAACTCAACTCCCATCAAAATCGTAGAAGGGTAGGTTTGATTGTTTTGTATGGCCACAGTAATAACTTGGCATCTTCTGTCTGGAGCACCTCTGCAGGAGCTGGGGGGAAAAGACCATCTCTTGAGCAAGAAGAGAAGCTCCTCTATAAACTTGAGAAGTAGATTGTCACCCTCAGGTACCTTCCTTAAGAACTGGTATTATCAGAAATGCCTTGAAGACTGTTGCTTAAGGATTCTTAAATCTTTAATATTCACTGAAATCTCTAGTCCCTGAAGGGCTTTATTATCGAGCAACATGAGCCAGCATTAGTTTAGTACTTTAAAATGTGTAAGACATTCTAATACATTCTTTTTTAAGTTAACCATCACAACAACCCTGTGAGGGAGAACCAGCCCAGGATCCCTGTTTCACAGCTGGGGAATATGAGCAAAAGGGTGTTAAGCAATATGTCCATGGCCCCACAGCTTGATCCCAAAGAGAGTAAAGGCACCAGTGTGAATATTTGGATTTATAAAGTTCTTTTAAGCCCATTATAGTCATTTTATTAGGGTCCAGAGGAAAGCAAAAGCATGTGTGCATGTTGAATCCAGATATCTTCAACCAGATAATACCTCTTTCCTATTATTTCCTATTATGATTTGTTATTTATTACAGTATGTGTGTATCTCTGTCTGTGTGTCTGTGTATCTGTGCTGAGGAAGTAGTAGAGGTCTATCACAGATCAGATCAATGATAGATGAGAGATACCATCTATAACGCTATATTCTGATTGCAAGGTAATGTCTATCATCATAGAAAATTTGGACAACAGAAAAATATAAAGAAAAAAACAAAAATCACCTTTAATCCCTGTTGTGCCTTTTCTTTTTAAGTTTAAAACCAACTATGAGAAGAGAAGTTTTAAAGTGCCCATCCAGTCCAATGAAACGCTTGTGGGTGCTGTGATAAACAATGTGTCAGAGGCCATGGAGACTCTTACAAGGATCACAGAGGAGTTGGTTCCTGTTCCAGGGTCTGTGAATGGGGTCAATGCGCTGGGACTAGTTGTCTTCTCCATGTGCTTTGGATTTGTGATTGGAAACATGAAGGAACAGGGGCAGGCCCTGAGAGAGTTCTTTGATTCTCTTAATGAAGCCATCATGAGACTGGTAGCAGTGATAATGTGGTATGTATTTCCATTTGCTATATAAGCTATGCACAAGATGCTTATTGCCATTCACATGTGTTCTGTACTGAGGAAGATGCCACCAGGCAGGATGGCCTATTCCAATGAGCTCATTCAGGTAACCAAGAAAATCAATGACTTTCTGGGCTTGTCATGGCCTTGAACCTGTCTGCAAGCCTCTCCTAATAAATTCATTGCTTTGTTTTTAAAAAGCATCAACTTTTTCTCCAGTGCTGATGGGATCCTGTTCTTTATTTCTCCAGTTTGTATCTATTTAATTATTCTTTTAATACATATTTAATGAGCATCTACTCAATGCTAAGCATCTATGCTAGGCACTACGGATATAGCAATGAAAAAAAAAAAGATGTCCTGGAACTTACATCCTTTTAAATGAGACCAAAAAAAATAAACACATCAACTACATGCTTTAGTCACAAGTGCTATGAAAAAATAAATAAAACAAAACAGCAGATTTTATGTGATGTGATGCAAAATAAAGTGACTGGGGAAGAAGCACAATATTTGCCTCGGATGGTGCAGAAAAGCATCTGGGAAGGTGACACTGTTTTCTAAGATCTAAATGACCAGGAGAAACTAGCCATACAAAGTGCCAAGAGAACAGCATTCCAGTAGAAGGTAAATCAAATGTAGAGGCCCCTTGACCTTTAGGAAACTGAGATTCCCTCTCATCCATTTCAGCCCTAAAAAAAAATGTAAGTGGCAGTTTTGCTTCATGCAATACTCATGGGAAGTATTACAGAATGCCAAGCCACAGTTTATAACAACACTTCGTTCAAATAAAGTTGAGAGCACAGGACAAAGGAAAAGACTAAATCCAAAGAGCAACACTGACCTTGGAAAGTAAACTCTGTTCTCCAGCTGGGAGAGAAGCCTTTGATTGGTTTAAGCCTCTTGCGGGGCTTGCTTTCCCTTTATCCTTTATTTTTAATCCAGACTTCTTCTTGGCACCTGAGGCGAAAGGCATCCATTTCTAAGAAAAGCACTCACCGTGATTAAAAATATCCTTTGTCTTTGTTGCCACCAAAGCCCAGAAAAATCTATTTTCAGGAGTTTATACAAAATGGATATGAACTTGGACACAAAGACTGGTCAGAACATGGTCTGCAAAGAAGCCCTCCTTTGAAATCCTGGCAGCACTGAAAGTGGACATTTATCTTCATATTATTAAAATGCCTCCACCTTTCACCTCTTTCATGAAAGAAGTCCATTCAGGGCCACTGAATGAACCTCACATGTAGCATTTCTAGCTGTACATTTGCCTGAACATTCAACATTGAGTTATTACATTTCTGAAAACAGGTACTCTTACAATTTCCTGGCCTGTGTTTTTAAAGAACTTTTAAAAGGAGCATTGTATTTTTCAATTTGAAGTAAGTCCTCCATAGTTCCAGCAGACATGTCTCTTTGCAGGTGATTGGCCTCTCTGTTCTTGGTAATGTGAGCTTGGTTGTAGCTTACTGCACACATCAGACAAAAGGAATTGAAAGACCGTCAGTAGGATCTTTGAACAACCAGGATTGTTTCAATATGTAAAGTTCATTTTATCTCTTCATTGTTCATTCTTGCCAAGTCTCCAGGAGAAAGATTACAAATGACCCAGTAGCAGCCTGAGTAATAATTACTTAATTAGAATACTTATAACCTGATTGTGGTAGTACATACATGCACATTATTACTTTCAATAACTCTGAATTTATTTTATGGTTGCCTTCTATTTATGGAAAATGGCATTAGTTTTCCATTTGTACTATAAAATAACTTCCTCTTAGAGAAAACACATTTAAGTAAGAGAGTTGATTTAAAGACTAAGTAATATTATAAGTGTGTGTAACATGGCAAAAAATAATAAAAATGGTTCTTGATGAAGAGAGCTGCCTGTAAATCTAAAACACTGAAATGGTCTTGGGTGCATCTTGCTTTCACTTAGAATCAGGCTCTGATCTGGGAAACTCTCCCCCAGAAGCCTGAATATTGATTCAATGGATTCTGGCTGGTCAGAGTACCTAGCAGGAGAGCAGGAGGCAAGGGGAACGGGTGGCATTTGAAGACCACAGAGGTGACCAGGTGGGTGAAGAAAGAGTTGGCTAGGAAAAGAGAGGTGAGTGGCATAACCTCTGTGCTTCCCTTTTTTCATGGGTTTGGGAGAAAAACAGTGTGACCTAGAGAAATTCTGAGGAGAAGAAAGCCTAATATGTGCACTATTTATATTTAAAAAAGAAAAGAAAGAAGTTCACCATTTCTGCAATTCCAAACAGCTTTTCTGGGCAGAAAAGTTTGGAAAGCATCTCTCTTGGTGATGGCCTCTCTGTTTTTGGTAATGTGATTTGCCTGAACATTCAACGTTGAGTTATTACATTTCTGAAAACAGGTACTCTTACAATTTCCTGGCCTCTGTTTTTAAAGGACTTTTAAAAGGAAGTGATTTCTTCTTTTTAAAGGTGATTTCTTTTCACCTGGTGATTTCTGTGGAAAAGCTTGTTGGAAATCAGACTTCCAACTGTGCGTATGTTGCTTCTACATAGGTACGCCCCTCTGGGCATCCTCTTCCTGATTGCAGGGAAAATTGTTGAGATGGAAGACATGGGAGTGATTGGAGGACAGCTTGCCATGTACACGGTGACAGTCATCGTTGGCTTACTCATTCATGCAGTCATTGTCCTGCCCCTCCTCTACTTCTTGGTAACGCGGAAAAACCCTTGGGTTTTTATCGGGGGGCTGCTGCAAGCACTCATCACAGCTCTAGGAACCTCCTCCAGGTACGGAAGGAAGTGTACCTTATTCCTATCAGAAAACGTATCTCAAACTTAACTCTGAATCCAAACCCTCAGGTTGGGCGAAGGGGAAGGCATTTTTTCTGGGGTTTAAACGTCCAGGCATATGAATTGGCTTTTTCACTCCGATACTAAACAGACCTGGCTGAGATTCAGGGAATGGCTGGCTATATGCCCTTTGGGGGCACAAAATGGAAATCAGCTTTCTTTTTCTGCACACTGTCATCCCCCTCTTCCAGTGGCATTTGCCTGAGGGAGAAATGACAGAGAGACTCAGTGCAGGCTGTTGTGGGAGGGGGTATAATCACAAGTGATGCCACACAGAGGAATCCGGAAGCAGGAGAGCTGCCCGCTAAGCCAGTGATGGCTTCCACACTCATCCTAAACCTGCTTCCCTATTTATACAAGTGCTGACTTGGTTCACCTTAACTTAGGACACGGGAGAGGAAGGAAATGTCTGTCCAAAATATCTAACACACAGGCATGATCTGAACGACCAGGACAGTCAGCTGACATGCCCTGTTCTCCTGTTCTCAGCTCGGCCACCCTACCCATCACCTTCAAATGCCTGGAAGAAAACAATGGCGTGGACAAGCGGGTCACCAGATTCGTGCTGCCAGTAGGGGCCACCATTAACATGGATGGGACTGCCCTCTATGAGGCTTTGGCTGCCATTTTCATTGCTCAAGTTAACAACTTTGACCTGAACTTTGGACAGATCATTACAATCAGGTACAAGTAAAGTTCTACACAATATTTTCTTAAGAATGACTTTAAATGATGAAACAGTGATCAGGGGTTGGGTGAAATAACTTGTTCATGTAACAGGAAACTGAGGTTGGTGGGAATAGTTTTATTTTTGATATTTAGATATTTTTATTGTTTTTTAAATTACAGATATGTGTATTCATTAATAATGAAGTTCTAGTAATATAGAAATACATCAAGTAAAATGTGAAACTTACCTGCCACTATTATACCACACCTTTCTATAGGTGAGCACTGTTAGTTTGATGTGTAAAGACCTTTTCCTAAGCATAGACATACACACACTACTTGTTTGCAATTAATGGAATCATGCCATACACACAGCTTGCTGCTTGATTGATCTAGTTATAGGTATGCCATCTATAAATATATCTAGCTCTTTTTATTTTTTTTCTCTCAAAATTCTCTAGGTTCAGATGGTCCATTTTATTTTCTAACATAGATACAAATATTTTATTTAATTTATTGCTCTTTCTTTTTAAATCTGTGAGATATATAATATGGATATTTCTTTTTAAAAAGTATTAGACTGTACTTCAATTTTAAAGACATTAAAATATGTTAGCTTTTATTGACAGTGTTAGAATATAAAAATACCCTTGGAAAACTGGATTAACATTTTCTCTTGGGTTAATTTTTAGACAGTATAAAATAGATGAGAGACCACACTGACAAACAGGTTAAGAATTTTATTTCTGAGGACTATTTTTTTAACCATTATATTTGAGGTATCAAGTGGAAGGTGATTTTCCTTCCCAGGCCTTCCCCCAGTCACTTAATTTCCTTCTCCTGAGGCAACTACTGTTGTTTGCTAGTTTCTTTTGTATTCTTCCGGGGATAGGCCATGTATATGCAAATATAATCCCCTCTTCTTGCTTACTGAAAGTCAGTATGCACCACCAACCCATAGGTAAGTGTAATGGAGACTTTAAACCTCACAGTCCAGATCAGACTCTGCTTTTCATTGTGTGTATATGTGTTTTAACTTTTATTAATGATTTGTTTTGGAGATCAAGTCAGACGTTTTTCAAAACTTTTTATTATATGTATTATTTTACATATAGGAAAGTTGAAAGAGTATTGCAACAAACATTTTCTACCTAGACCCAGCAATCATTAACATTTTGCCATTTTTGCTTCTCCTTTCTTTCTCTTTCTCTGCCTTCATGACATTTCACTTGTACAGTTTGGAATGAATCTCCTAAGAATAAGAATAGTTTTCAACATAGCCACTAAAGTAAGAATCTTAAAAATGTTTCCAGAATATCCAGTCTATATTCATATTTCCCCAGTTGTCCCAAAAATGTTTTTCATGGCTTTTTTCCCCAGACCAAGATAAAATCCAGATTTATGGCTTGCATTTGATTTTTATGTCACTTCAGTGTTTTTAAAACTCTGTCAGTTCCACCACATTTTTTTGTGTATGTATATGTTTACTTAGAAATAAGTTGTGTTAGACTCTGTATATTATGTGTTTTTGGAAAATGATAATAGTTGTCAGATGCACTGGGGTAAAAAAAAAAAAAAAAGATGAGGCTGATCATGGCTGAGATGACTGGCCTGAGAGTCTGAGAGTTCTGGGAGCTCCAGGCCCAGTCTGGCTCCACCGGGGCTGGGAGATTAATACCTCAGCTCTCCAGTACCTATTCTTGGGTGTCTCTTGGTATACTGATTGACAAGCCATGAGTTATGAAAAAGTTTCAGTTGCATGTGATAGAGTTTAAAAAAATAATAACAATAATAATGACTTCAACAAGCTAGAACTGAGTTTCTCTCTCATATGGAGCAGCTCTGCCCCACAAGTCCCTCAAGGCTGGTAGGTGTTCTACTGTGTAAAGGATCAGGGCTTGCAGCTCCATCATCCCTGGGGTGTTACCCTCATCCTGGTGGTCCAGGAGAGCTCATCACCACCCCCAAATTTTAGCCAGTGAGAAGAGGAGGTGTGGCACAGCCTGCAAGTTTCCTAATCACTTCCATTCCTATCTCATTGGCCAGAATTTAGTCTGAACTCCAAAGGAGGCTGGGAAATGTAGCCTTCAGTCTGGACAGCCATATATCCATTAAAAATTCTAGTACTATAGAAAGATAACAATATGAGAGAACCATGAATAATCTCTTCCACAGTAGGTGCCAGAGACTTATTATTTTATTAACACCACTTGATATCTAGGTAAAATACTCAACTATTTATAAAACATTTTCATATCCTCATATCAGCCTACTAAATAGGTATTTAACAGTCTCAGACAGGTTACGTGCCTTATAAACTAGGTCCACACTGCATCTATTAAAAAATATTTATAATGCAGCAGAACTTTACTCATAAATCATTTTGCTTTTAAATCAAGAAATTTGATTTTCTTTTTTTTTTTTATCACATTAACCTATACAAGTTCAGTATCATTATAATCCTCTACTTGGGTAGAGGAATTATTAGAAACAAATTGTTCCTGTAACTATATAGTATTTTAGACCTTACAAAACACTTTCAGGTACATTAAGAAATATATAACCACCAGGTTCTTCAGATAAAAATGGCCTTAAAAGGACCAACTTCCTAAGGGTTGTTGTGAGAATCAAATGAAATAAGCCATGCTTAGCATGTGAGATGGCATCTAATAAGCCCATGATAAATATTAGTTACCATGATCATTAGGTCAATGGGTAATCTACAATCTCATTTACATTTTTCTAAAGCACATCCTTTTCTAGTAACTCAGCAAGTCAGACATTGTCACTGTGTGAGTTTTGCAGGGCAAACTCTGTCTGGTGAGATTTGTACAGATATTTTCTGTTCTGGGACTTCTTTCAACAGCATCACAGCCACAGCCGCCAGTATCGGGGCGGCCGGGATCCCCCAGGCCGGCCTCGTCACCATGGTCATCGTGCTGACCTCCGTGGGCCTGCCCACCGATGACATCACACTCATCATCGCGGTGGACTGGTTCCTGTGAGTATGCCGGCTGCCGCGGGGATCCCCTCTGTCATTCTAGGGCACCAGGCAGCCCGGCACACCTGCCAAAGGGCTCCATGAAGAGGGGCGGCTTGGCCTGCTATTGAATCGTCCTCATTGCCTGATCCTGTCCTTATCTAGAGACTGAGCCCCAGGCGCCATGCACACTCACTCTCTTATCAGCCTTCGGCGCACATCTGGCTGCTACACTTCTCACTCCATAAAGCCATTCAGCGATTGGGAAACTGGCTGTCCACAAAGCCAGCATAAATCAGCAAGGCCATTTCTGAATTGCACAACACACCCCCACGATGGCTAGAACAGAACTGTAGGCCTCACATGGCGGCTCAGGCCCTGCCTCCTTGTGCTTCCCATTCCACTGGCGTGATGCCGCACAGATGTTCCCATGCTAACCCAGCAGGGAGAGGGGCAGCCATGCAGACGACAGAAGAGAGCTAGTGTCACTAAGAGGAATTGATCTTTGGCTCTGGGGATAGTTCCAAGAAAAGCACCCTCCCAGCCCCTCAGACCCTAACCTGTAGCTCGTCCTTCCACCCTTTTTCCTCCCCTTCCCGCTGACATTCTCTGCCTCTATTCTTTCATAAATTCCCTTCCACTTGCAAAAAATTTCCCCCCGGGGTTCCCAAAGTGAAGACCTAGGAGGACACAGTAGGTGCCAGAGTCAATGTATGTTGACTTCACTAGATCTAATGACCACGAGGAGACTGACATTTTGCTCAAGGCTTGATAGGTCAAGGGATGGGGAGCAGGGGAGAGGTGGAAAGCATGAGTTCTACAGTCACTTGGATCTTTGCATCCCAGCCCTGTAAGACACTGGTCAGATTACCTAACCACAATAGTTTCCTCCTCTGTAAAATGGGGATGATAATGTTGCCATACACCTCCCAGTGGTGCTGTGAGAATTAAATGCAATGATTCATGGGAAGACTTAGCCCACTGTCAGTACTCAACAAATGTAAGGACTTTTACAGTTTAAAGCTGTGGTTCTTAAAGTTTTGAGTCTCAGGACCCCTTTACATTTAAAAATTATTGAGGATCCAAAGAGCCTTTATCTATGTGAGTTACATCTATCAATATTTTTCATATTGGAAAACTTTAGAAATGTTTTAAATGTTAAATTCATTTAAGTCTACAATAGTAAGTTCATTACATGTTAACATAAATAACATTTTTAAGAAAAAGTACCATTTTCCTAACCAAAAATCTGAGGGAAAAGAATGATATCATTTTACATTTTTGTAAATCTCCTTAATGTCTTGCTTAATACAAGACAGCTGTAGTCTCCTAACTGCCTCTGCATTCAATCTGTTGTGGTATCTTTTGTGTTGTGTTGTAGTCTTTGCAAAACCCCACTATGCATTCATGAGAAAATGAGAGTAAAAAGGGCAAATAACATCTTCACATTATTACAAAAATAGTTTTGAGCTCAGGGACCCCTCGGGTCTCCAGACCACACTTTGAGAACTGCTGGAATAAGAGAAGGTGAGTTGCAGGAAAGAGAATCAGAGAGAATTTTTAAATAAAAGGAAAAAAGGAAGGGTCATTTCCCACTGTTGTTGCTCCAACTAGTAACTAAAAATTTAATACTCTTTATGTCCCCATAACTTTTAATAGCTACTATTATTATAAATGCTATATGTCTATTAAATGATGATGCAGTTTTGAATACACCAAGCAGAATTTTAAGAGATGGCTCCAAACACTTAGCCTGTGGGTTCAAAATATGAACTGAAGTCACACAATGTTCACTGGGGCCCATTTTTCCTTCCTCCCTGTCCTTCCCCAGGGACCGCCTCCGCACCACCACCAACGTGCTAGGAGACTCCCTGGGAGCTGGCATTGTGGAGCACTTGTCCCGACATGAACTGAAAAACAGAGATGTTGAAATGGGTAACTCAGTGATTGAAGAAAATGAAATGAAGAAACCGTATCAGCTGATTGCCCAGGAAAGCGAATCAGAGAAACCTATCGACAGTGAAACCAAGATGTAGACTAATATAAAGAAAGGCTTTCCTGAGCACCAGGTGTTTGAAAACCGTTATAAATGCTTCCATCTCATTACAACTCCATCTTTTCAGTAAGCCCCTTACCTCCCTTTTCCTTGCTACTCTGATAGGATTGGGAAGTAGTCCTCCAAAACAAGAGAGGGGTTTGCAGCAGCCAAAAGACACAGTTTTCGTCCTGCTTTTGAAATTTTTAAATCATGTCATGTTAGTCTTACCTAATAAGGTACTGAGATAAAAAATGGTCTTAATCAGATCCCACAAGCTTATGTGGCACACAATGTGTAAGTTAAAGAGTCAAACAAATAGTAAGCTAAAAACATGCTTTTAAATCAACTTCCCAAATTTAAAAATTCTTTAAAATAAAATTCATTTTTTAGTTCCAAAATGAAACAACTTGATAAACTACCATCAGCTATCAGTTGGACAACAGTAGGGGTTTTTTTTCTTCCTCTTCTGATTTGTGTCCTTATTAGTAGCAGGACAATATGAATATACACTTAGCACAGGGGGCACATAAAGTGAAATTTCTGTGTGGCCATGGGCAAGTTACATCTCATTTCCAGGCCTCAGTGTTCTCATCTGCTAAATGAGTCGGTTCCCTAGATGCCTTGTGGTATCTTCTAGCCAAAACATCTGTGGCATCATGAGAGAGCCTGCCTTCTATCTCCTCTTGGAACACCCTGAAGCAAGTGTTGTAACATGGAGCATGGGATTTTCAAAAAGGATATTTATTGGGAATGAACGTTTCTTAGTAAGGGTGGGATGGCTGTGTGGTTTACTAGGTCCAATGTCCAAAAATGTCCCTTATGCAAGTCACCAGGCTGGAGACCAATCTAGGAGTGGAATTATTCACAAAACTCTGCTCAGTTCTTCCCAAAAAGGGTTCCCTTTTTTCCTGCCCTTCCCAAACTGAAGGGACTCTCTGGGAAGGATGTCTCTTACAAATCCTCAACTGATAAAGGACTTTTAGAAAATAAAATGTAAGACCAGCAAGTATGCTTATGGTCTTACTATGGGACACTAAAGAACTAGTAGGGAAGAATGGAGCATAGTTCACATAGAGGATTTTAAAACACCAAGATTACAGGTCATCTTTAAAGAATAATTTTTTAAAAGAGAGGTTCATTTTTTTTTTTACCTGAAAACACTTTCTCTTCAGTTCAAAGTCATTCCCCAAGGAAACCTGCATACCAAAATATAAGATCACTCCTTCTATATTTTAAAGACAAATGAATGAGCTCTCTCTTTAATAGATGTCTGTGAGCTGAATGCGAGAAACAAGATATTTCTTTGTGTTGGAATTCCACTTACCAAAACATACAAAACCTTCAGTTGGAGTGAGGTTTGGTTCTGTTTTGTTTGTGTCCCTGAGAGAAATGGTAGATGAATCAGTAGGAAGACACTGTCAATGTGGTTCCAAGAAAAAAACAGCAGGGGCATTAGCTTGAGGCAAGGCAGCTCGCAGGTTTAGAGGAGATTAGTTTTGTACCCACAAGGAACAGCCAGTCAAGTACACAGAATGGGAGCTGTCTGACAATACCAGCTGTGTTTGAGTTTCTGAGCAAAAATGGTGAAAAATGGACTTAATTACACTAACAGACTGAAAGCCTAGACCCTCTGATATACAATTAGATATATTTTTATATAGATCCTGAGCATATGTGTGTACAAAAGTTAATGTTAGGCTGTGGTGGAGTAACATTTGATCTCAAGGCTCTATTTGGGAAATACACTACAAAAGTTAACGTACATGGCTGTCATCTTACAACGCAAGTAGAGCAAACATTAATCATGTCAAATTAATTCTGTTACACACTGTGATTTTTTTATACTAATCATTTCTTATGAAAAGCAGGTCTTCTAGAATGATCCTCTCACCAGCCCATCACAGGCTCTGCATATACACTGCACCCTATGTGGACTGAGAAGCATTACTTTGTAGATGTATTTTCAATAAAGAAAAAATTAGTTTTACATTATACCTTTGCATGTTATTGTCATTCTTCTCCCTGAAGGAAAATAAATTTTCCATGCATGGAAGTATTGCAATGAGCTCAGGGAATGCTGAGGAAGAACACCATGCAGAATTTTTTTAGATTTTACAGGGTAGAATCTTGAAAGGACCAGCCTAGGGTAGCCAGCCACAATAAAATAAATAAGGATTCTTTCTCCCTGTCCAACTCCTAGAACTGGAGCTGAAAACAGGAGTTGCTGAGAGAAGCACTTTGCTCTAACAGCCTACACTCACTCATTCACATAGGCTTCAAATTTCTCATATAAAGTGAACCATTCCTATGTTCTGTTTAGAAAAGTGTAATACCACCATTGCTTCCTCCAAAAAAGCAATTTCCCATCTGGCCTTCAAATTAGGTGGTTTTATCTATGTGATTACCACTGTCTTTCATGAAAAAAAGATGAGTAAGATCTCAAGGAAATTTCAGAAACAGCCATTGAACTAGCGAACCATTCTCTCCATAAAGAACAACTTATGGACTACTGTTTTTTTCCGTCAAGCTTTCTAATAAAGACTTGGCAGATGCTCTCACGGAATGCCCAGACTGAAGTTGTCTGGAGACACTTTAATCCAGCCCTCTACCTGCAGGTGGTAGCCACCTAGAGGAGAAGCTCTTAAACAGGGTCCACAAACCCCTCTGTCATCCATGTGAAAACTTCAGCGAGTTCGTATAGCCCTTGAAGTTATAGGGAAAGCTTTGTGCAGTTCCCTTTTTCTGGAGTAGAAATCTTTAATTTCCATCTATTTCTCTAAATGATCTTTTCACCAAAAAATTTACCAATCACTGTTTGATCAATACGTCCTAACTTTTTTCCAGTCATCTGTGATATTCGAATGGCTCACTGGGGAAATAGAAAGAGGTGCTCACAGCCTGAGGGGACCAAGCCAGCTCTGGCCATCCTGAGGGGATCCACATCTGCGCACCTGAGGGACATTCTGGATTCGGAAGCACTCAGAGAGGAGCCACAAAAGACCACTCCACTGCTAGGAAGGGCTTCCGCCGGCAGTCGCCAGTTTCGTTTTCCTTCTGCAGCCTAAACTGGATGAATTTGTGACCAAGATGACGGGAAAAGGGGCCTAGATCCCCACATGTGGTGGTTACAGGTCTGTTTGCAAATAGTACTATGACAAGTTTTCAGGTTAACCATTTTTTTTTAATGTTTCTGATAAGTAAACACATTCCTAAATTTTTTTTTAATCCTGCACTTTGAGAAGTTGGAGGATCCATGTGGTCCATGTGCTCCCCTTCCATATTTACCCCTTCACCACCACCGTTTCCAGGCAGCATTCCCTTCCCCAAGCGGAAAGGTCTCGCTCTGCCAGTAAAGTTCTTTTTTACAAGGCTTAATTCATACACACCACGTCGAAAGAGATTTTAGTGCTGTTAATTGCGCAGATCTGAAGAGAGCTTGGAGGACGGGCTCGTTTCCCGCGGGACGCAAGCGGAGTGAGGAGGACGCGGGGGCGGAGGGGTGCCCCGAGCCCTCTTCCTGGGCGACCCGCAGGGCACTTGACCCGAGGCTGCTGCCAATCATCCGGCCTCCGCGGCGGCGCGCTGCCCCTCTCCACCAGGGTGGTCCCCGAACTGGGGCAACAATGGCCAGCTCTGTGTGGCCTTTCCCGGGGGCCAAACAGTTGGGAGGTGTCACGCTGAAGCCAGGCTGCGAATGAATAAGCTGACAGAAAAGACCAAGGAAGGAAGAGCCAAGGAAGCTGATGCCCAGAGTCCTTTAGAGGAAAACGGACAGATGAGAAACCTCCAGATGAGAAACCTCCGGGATCGATCGCCCGGTCAGGGTGTGCGGGAGCGGTACCCACAATGGTCACCAGGGGGAGCCCAGAGCTCTTCGAGGCGAGAAACCGAACTTCCTCTTAAAGAGAACTCGCTTGGATAATCACAGAGAATTCCGAGGTCTGTGAAACAGAGAGGAGATCCATACGTGAAGTCCATGGGGCTGTTTGAAATTCTTCATCGCCCCCCTACCTCCTTTCCCTCTGGTCACGCTGCTTCTCCAGTAGTGTCTCCTAGGAGCCATTCCTTTCTGGGTGTGAGCTGTTTGGTGTCTTATGCCCAGCCTCTTTACCCTCCCACATCCTTTCTTGCCATCCTGTTCTGGATTCTTACCTCCCATTTCATTAGTATGCTTCCCAGAAAGACAAGTACTCAGAAAGCTGCATGGTAACATTTTCCAGCTGGTCTTCCCTCATCATGACCATGAATCTCCTGTCTCAACCTTCAGTTTGGAAAGTCACATTTTACTGAATCTAGGCATACAAGTAGGGTTGTCAGATAAGATACAAGACACTCAGTTAAATTTGGTTTTCAGATAAATAACAAATTATATTTGAGTATAACTATTAAATGACAGTATTTTAGTGTAAGTATGTACCAAAACGTGGGGCCACCTGTGTTTTTATTTGTTAATCTAACAACCATACATTCATACAAGCAAATGAATTCAGGACAATTTTTGGTCAAATCATGGAGTGGCAACATGGGTGAAAGAGTTTTTATGATAATTAAATATAACCATCCTAATTTTTAATTTCTCTCTGCAGACAAAAGCACCCTTTAAAAGTCAGTACAGATCTGGGACCTTCCTACTATTTGTTCTAAGGATATTATCACTCATTATGTCCTTGTTAATCTTGTGGCTGCATTTAAAAAGCCTGATCAATCACCTTTAAGACTTCACAGAAAGGTCTTAAATAAGTTAAACACCATTTCAGTTTTCCATGCTTGAAATATTTTAAGACTCACATCTGTTTTTCTTTTCTTCTCTTCCTTTTATGTGCTTTCCTTTTCTCACTCCTTCCTCCTGAACCCACCCCTACCCCCGAGTCCAAACATAAAATATTTTCTGTAATCCATTGTAGGACTGAAAATTTTGGCATTCACATATTGTTTTCCAATGGTGAACATATTTTTTTCATTTGGGGTGCTCCTTTTAGAAAAGTCCCCATATTTTTTTCATATTACTGTATCTTAAGACCACCAGTTTCCAGTTGTGTAACTGAGAGTGAGGCATTTTTCATAGTCTCTTCAGAGAACTCCAGCCTCCATGGATGGGCATCATTCCTACAAAAGCCCCTTCTTTAAACTGACGCTGAAGGATATAAAAAGCAGGGCCCAACTAATACTGCAGGAGGGCAAAATACGGCCCTTAAAATCACAAATTCTTTCCCAGTAATCACATACATACAGCCATGTTAAAGATAGCAGTGAGTCCCATAGAAGATGACAACTTTTGGATTTCTTTTCCAATTCTGTAGATTCAAGGGGTCATAAAAAAGACTGAAAGTAGCCAGCCAGGAGCTTGCAGACATAGCAGGAAAAAATAAAGACCATGCAGGAGTCAGTTCAACCATAAAAGCAACTGATGATGGCTCTGCCCTGGGGAGAGCTTAGCACTCAAAGAGTCTGTCAGCAACAGAAGTCTGAAAACTGTCACCAATTCCACTGCCTTGGCACTGCAGTGACTCTGTGAGAGACTGTTTCACTTAAGTTGATGATGAGTTGTCAGCCAAAGTAGAAAACAATTCACAAAGACCACATGTGAGTTAGAAAACTAACACATGAGACTAAATTAGTGCCAGGCTTCCTAAAACCTAAAGGCCTTCAGCTTGAGTGGTGGTTGAACCCAAAGTCGTGCATGGTGCCGGGCTGGATGCACACCTGTTAGAGCTGAATCAGGATCCCTGGGCCCTCGCTGTTAACCCTGAAACACATCTTGCTGTTTTCATGGAAATGGTGGCCCTAGGGCAGCTTCACTGGGCAGGCAGAGTTAGAACCAGACCTAGACAAGGGAAATGAGTTCTAGTCTCTCACTTTCCTTTAACTGTGGTTCCTTGACCTACACAATCAGCCTTCCTGACCTCAAAGTCCTCATCTGTACGTGTTGGGATTGGATGACCTGTAATTGTCAAACCAATTTTCATTATCAGGCTTCCATATATTCGAGGAAGTGCTAAAGTGGGCTTCTGTGGCCAACTACGCTTGGCAGATGATAGATTAAACTTCAACTTCATCATCAGGAATGAGTATGATAATACCTTCTTCATGAGGGTGTAGTGAGAATTAAATAGTAGATAATACAAAGTTTTCAGCACAGATACTGGCACTGAGGAGGACTCTTAAGATGTTTAGAACAAAACTGGCTCAGCGAAGGAAGTGTTGCTGGAGGAGGGGACAGTGCTCTCCATCGGGGCCTGCTGTGAACAGGACGGAACCCCCAAAGGAGGCCACAGACCTACATCTTCTAGGAGGGAGGCTTTGGGGGGCCCATCACCCCTGGAAACTGGCAATATGAGAAACTTCCAGGCCTCTTTACCGACAGGCCCAGGTCTCTGTGCCAGGGCGGACTGGCAGCCCCTGCCAGTCTCCTCCAAGGCTTTTGTCAGGCCCAGCTCTCCCAGCAGCCCTGCACTGCATGGTGGTTTTGTGAAAGGCACAATTCAACACTCTGAGGAGACCACCCAGCTTCCTCCAGAGCCTCCCAGAGAACAAAACCGACCTTCTGTGTGCCAGCGACCTCCCCCTCTGCCAGGGCCCCTTCCACCATCCTCCGGCCTGCCAAGGGGAAATTCGGAAGCAATCAAGCCTCCACTCTGTGGGAACCCAGGGGATGCTGTGCTGAGCTGTCCCCAGCGCTACGCTGCTGCCACCCTGTGGCAATGGTCTTCCTCCAGGCTCCTGATGGCCACGCAGACT